AAGTGGTGGGTCAGAAGAATTGTCAGAGTTAGTTGGCGGCGGAGAGGAGGAGGAAGAGGCGGGCGGGGGGACGATGGTTGGTGCCGTTCGAGAGGCGCAGTTAATCCGAAGATGTCCAACAAGTCCGATTCGAGCCCGGAATGTCCGTTGACATCGAGGACACGTTGGAAGCGGTTGTGTGGCGGCGTTGCGTACTGGGCGAAGTTGTGATTTGCGGGCTGCGCGTTTCGCTTTGGCGGCATCGAGGCGGTTGGCTTCGTATATCGCAGCGCCTGTCTTCACTGTCCTCCTCCAGGTCGGTCGATCGAGTGCGAGCTCCTCCCAGTTGGTCGGGTTGATTTGCAGGCGTTTCAGGAAGGACTTCAGGGTATCCTTGTAACGGCGAATCTGGCCTCCTTGACGGCGAGAACCCGTCGTGACTTCTCCGTAGAAGTGTCGTTTGGGTGGTCGCTCTTCGTCCATGCGCACCAGGTGGTCGCTCCAGCGCCTCAGTATGGCGTAGATGCTGAGGATTCCCTTCCGTTCCAGCACATCAGTGTCGGGGATTCGATCCTGCCACTTCAGCCTCAGGATGCGACGAAGACAACTGAGGTGGAAGTGGTTCAGACGACGTACCTGCTTTGCGTACACCGTCCAAGTCTCCGCTCCATACAGTAGTGTCGGCAGGATGACGGCCTTGTACATCTTCAGCTTCGTGCCCAGCTGAAGACCGTGGCGATTCCAAACTGTGCTTTGGAGGCGACCGAAGGCTTGACTGGCTTTCGAGATCCTGTTGGCGACTTCGTCGTCGATCTTGGTGCTCCGGGAGAGAGTACTGCCCAGGTACGGGAAGTTCTCCACCACTTGCAGTTGGGTTCCGTTCACGCTGATTTGCGGCGGCGCGTTGGGGGCTGTGACTGAGTGGGGTGACGGTTGGTGCATCACCACCGTCTTCTGCGTGTTAATGACCAGACCGAAGTTCTCGCAGGCGGCGGAGAACAGGTCCATGCTCCGTTGCATCTCCGTTTCGGAGGTGGTGTTCAGGGCGCAGTCGTCGGCGAAGAGAAGTTCGTGGACGGTGGTTGTAGATACGCGCGATTGGAAGTGCATCCGCCGTTGATTCAGGAGGTGACCGTCCGTCCTGTAGGCGATGCGGATCCCGGGACGTTCGTCGCGGTAGGCGTCCATCAGCATGGCAGAGAACACAAGACTGAAGAGGGTAGGCGCCCGTACGCAGCCCTGCTTCACTCCGTTGGTCACTGCGGATGCCTCTGAGACAGCTCCGTTGTCCGTGACTCGCGCCATCATACCGTCGTGCAGCTGACGCCCCATCTGAGTGAATCGTTCCGGACAGCCGGATTTCTGCATGATCTTCCACAGTCCTTCCCGATTCACCGTGTCGAAGGCGTTCGTCAGGTCCACGAAGGTAGAGTACAGGTGGGTCCGCATCTCCTGACACTTCTCCTGAAGTTGACGGGCGGCGAAGATCATATCCGTGGTCCCACGATGACGACGAAAGCCGCATTGGCTTTTCGGCAGAAGGCCCTGTTCCAGATGGTTATTGGGGCGGTTGAGGAGGATTCGTGCGAAGATCTTCCCGGCGATGTTCAGCAGGGTGATGCCGCGGTGATTGTCGCAGACTTGGCGATTCCCTTTGCGCTTGTAGAGATGCATGATGGTTGCGTCTTTGAAATCTTTCGGCACTTCACCTTGACGCCACATCTCTTGGAAGAGCGCAGTCAGGTGATCCATCAGTTGGGGACCTCCGTGCTTGTAGACCTCAGCAGGGATTGCGTCCGATCCGGGTGCTTTCCCGCTGGAGAGCTGCTGCACGGCCCTGATGGTCTCCTGGAGAGATGGCGGGAGGTCGAGGTCCACGTTGGTCTCCACTTGCGGCAAACGCTCGATGGCGGCGTCGGAGATGACGGAGGGGCGGTTGAGGACGCCTCGGAAATGCTCGGCCCATCGCTGTAGGATTTGCGTCTTCTCAATCAGGAGAGTGTTGCCGTCGGCGCTGAGGAGAGGAGCAGTGCCCTTTGTCGGCGGACCGTAGACAGCTTTGATCGCAGAGAAGAAGTTCTTCCATTCGTTGCGGTCCGCGTACCCTTGGATCTCCTCAGCTTTGCGAGCAGTCCAGGCGTCCTGCATCTCGCGCAGTCGTTGCTGAAGTTGGCGGCGACTGCGGTAGAAGGCAGCTTTGTTGTCTTCAGTGGGGTGGTCTACGTAGGCTTTGTGTAGGCGGTTCTTCTCAGCAAGCAGATTTCTGATGGCGGCGTCGTTGTCGTCGAACCAGTCCTGGTGTTGGCGGGGAGCGCGACCAAGGACGGCGAACGCCGTCGACTGGACCGTGTCTCGCAGTTGACACCAGCGGTTCTCCACGGAGGCGTTCTCGGCAGCGGCAGCGTCGGCAGCGATAGGAAGGTTGTCTAGCCTTTGAGCTAGCTCATTGCTGAAATGAAGATGGTGAGCGGGCAAAGACAACAAGGCAACATTCAGCGTACCTGGGGGTCGCTTACCTTGTGGTCTCCTGTGAGGCTGTAGGCGAATACGCATCTTCGAGATGACGAGGCAATGGTCGGTCCACCCGTCAGCGCCCGCGATCACCTTTGTCACCAGCACTTCCCGCTGATCTCGCCTCCGGACGAGGACATAGTCCAGCAGGTGCCACTGACGCGACCGAGGATGCATCCTGGTGGCCTTCTCTCACTCCGGCAGACAGAAGGTGTTCGTCAGGATGAGTCGGTGTTCTGCGCAGGTGCGGAGAAGCAGCAGACCATTGTCGTTTGAGCCGCGGAGACCGTGGGAACCCAGCACTCCTCTCCAGGCAGTATGGTCTGTGCCGACGCGGGCGTTGAAGTCACCAAGGACAATCAACTTACCCACCTTCGACACAGTCGCCAAGAGGGCGTGCAGGTCCTCGTAGAATTTGTCTTTGACGGCGTCGGGGTTGGTCATCGTCGGAGCGTAGGCGCTGATGATGGTGGCGAATTTGCCTCCCCAGAGAGGCAGGCGGAGGCTCATCAGGCGATCGTTGATGCCCTGCGGCAAACAGGGCAGTCGTCCCACGATGTCGTTCCGGATGGCAAAGGCGACACCTGCGTCCCGTCACTCTGCCCTGGGTCGACCGTTCCAGAAGAAGGTGTAGCCGGCACCCACTTCCTCCAGTTGGCCTTGTTCGGAGAATCGGGTCTCGCTGAGTGCGGCGATGTCCACCTTGTAGCGCGCCAGTTCTCGTGTCTCTAGCGCCGTCCTCCGTTCCGGTCGGTTGCTCTTCGGATTGTCTAAAAGGGAACGAACATTCCAGGCTGCCAGAGTGAGCGGACTCACCCTGCCAGTCTGGTGACAACGAGTGGGGCGACGGGAAGGAGATGGAGAAGAAGGTGGCGAAGGAGTAGAATAGGCAGAAGAATAGGGAGAGGAAGAGGAAGAAGAGGTAGGATGAGGAGAATGAGTATGGTTGTTGTTGTTATTGGTATTGTTGTTGTTTCGATTTTGATTGTTTCGCCCATTGCATACACGCGAGCACACACACACAGGGCAGTTTGACTGTCGTTACCGACGATGTCCACTGTGTGTTCCGCAGCTAGGTGACAGAAGGGACGATGACTTGTGCATGATTTACTTCATAGTGAGTGTAGACTTGCACAGCATCTACCTCACTCTATCATCTTCCTCCACCCGTACCCGCTGTCAAGACAGAGTGAAGAAGGCCAAAGGCGGAGGAGGGTGCAGGTGGATGGCACGGTCGAGCCCGCATCTTGGCGTTCCACTCCACACCGCCTGGTCCACATAGCAACTGACCAAGTTTTTTGGGGGACGGCAGGGGTTCCAGTGTGCTCCATATCTGCCGCCACCGGGTCTGCCATCGCACCCCGAAATGTTGGCCTTTCTTATACTGTGCAATTCCGATGACGCCTGCCAGAATCCGATATGGTCCCCGTGTTGGTCCAGCACATCTACCGCGTGACCCGTTTTTTGGGCAAAGACTGATCTACATGTGCTGGCGCACACAGACCGTCTTGGCCAGCTATCTAATGTGTTACCGCGAGTTGTTCATCGAAAAGCATACGATGGTGCGAACTAAGAGTAGACGAATAGAAGACTGCTGACGGCCGGATAAAAGGCTTGAAGACCGTACAGAGGTGTCTTTCCTCCTCGCTACGAACCCAAAAGGTGATCTTGTTAAAGCATAGTATGTGTGAAACTTTTAGGCTCCGCACTTTCTGATCTTCCTCCTCTTAGCTTACCAGAAGATTTCCTCGTGTGCCCTCCTTCAAGGGAGACCTTTGGACTTACCGTCTTCCGCTTAAAACTAGTGCCGTTTCTAGCAGTATGCTTTGCACTATGTGCTGAAATTAATAAGGCTCGGAGTGCGACTTATTGATATGCCTCCAAATGAAAGAGATTGCTTTAATTAAGTCAGAAAAGTAACGAGCAGATGACATAATCGCCAGTCTCATCATAAACAGAACCATGTCAGAATTCGAATGAGTGTCCTTCCAATTCATCTGTTTAGGCAAAAAATTGATGGCATAAAAGAGTGCCTTTGATAAATACCCCGGACTCGTATTTTTTTCAAAAAAAAACTTGCATTGTGTAACGCTCTGTGTTCCAGAAGAACAGATTGAGATACTAGACTCTGCCCGCTATTTCAACGAAAAATGATTAACTGAATGTTTTGGCATAATCACAGAGGAGCAAGAAATAGGCCCTGTTGAGTCCACGACACAGAGCCTCATTAAATTCGAAAAAAGAGATAGATTTCCAGTATGCCGTTAAATAAAAGTACACAGGGGTGAGAGACGCATAAGAAAGATCAAGTCACTTCCTTCGTTAGCGCATTCTAGCCGCGAACGAAGACCTCAAACAGGCAGCATCGATTTAACGGTGATTTCAGCTGCTCTGTCGTTCTATATGGCTCCCCGTCGTGGACGAACATTCGAGGCTGCCAGACTGAGCGGACTCGTCCTAGCAGCCGGGGGGCGGGGGACGGGGACAAGAGTGGTTGTTGTTTGTTGTCGTTTTCGACCGCGAGTTATGCATCTACGAGCCACGGTATACTAACAGATGGCGTGATTTCCTAGCACTTGTTTAGGGCACCATTTCTGACCCCTTCCTCACAAGGGGTCGAGCAGTGCTATCTCTAAATAGGGCTGTTAAGACATCCCAGACGGCTGCTAAACTTCACTGTGTCATGACTTTGTTTAGTGCAGGGCGACCCGAGTTAGCCTGAGCCCTCTACGCGATTGTATGTCGTCCTCTCCGTAGAACGACTGAAGTGGAAGGGGGAGGGGGAAGGGGAGGATGGGAGCAGAATTACCGGGTGTGGGGCACAAAGCGCCGAGCGCCCTCATTTGCATTAGTTCGTCCGCTGAGGCGGTTACTTGGGTGTGGACACTGGAGTTGGGTGCCAGGTAAGGACCGTGGCGATCGGTCACCGAAGGTGAGATATAAGTATGAAAGATCAAGTCGTTTTCATCGTTAAGATATTCTAACCACGAACGAAGACCTCAGACAGACAAGACAGATTTAACAGTAATTTCAGCCGCCACCATAAAATGACTTATATATAAAGGCAAGATTTTACTTCATAACCGTACCAGTTAGGGGTTGGGATTAGGGGTCAGAGTTAAGGGTTGGGGTTAGGGTTGGGGGTTAGAGGTTGGAGTTAGGGGTCAGGGTGAGGGATTGGCGTTAGAGCTTAGGGTTACGTGTGGGGGGCTGTGGTTATGGGTTAGGGGTAAGGGTTGAGGGTTGGGGTTAGGCTGGGGCTTGTCAGCTGCAGGTACGGCTACGAAATGTGGCCCGACCCATATAACTCTTCTTAAAAGGAAAAAACGCGAAAACAATAATCTTTCCACTTCTTTCAACTTCTGATTAATGGCGGTGTTCAAGCTGGCTGAGCTTCAACTTCGAACCAGACACCTGATGATAGACCTTCTACTCTATGCGCGCCAAAACTTGCGGAACGGCAGTGAAGAGAGTCGGTTGCACTATGAAGACCTCCTTCTGCAATTGGGTCAGGTGACCGGCAAAGAAACCGATGCGACCTCGACCGGAGAGGACCACCATGGTCGCAAACTGCTGAGTTCTGAGTGTGCTGAGTGCAATGGAGCTGGTGGCGATGAACGCGCTTTGAGGCGGAGCGTGGGCGGTGCTAGGCATGATGGGTGTGCTGGATGTGCTAAGTGTGTAGGGGCTGCGGTCAGTTGCGCTCTCGTAGACACGCATGTGGCCAAATAGGCTCATGCGGTGCATGAATGTGCGGATGCAGTGTGGGCAGTGGAGGCAGGTGCGGCAAGTGTAGGTTGGTGCCCAGGCACCGGTTCGCCAGTCTCCGTGCGATGGATTTTCAAGTGACGGAGAAGACCGATGTGTGAGGTGAAGGTGAGATCGCAATGAGGACAGGTATGGATCGAGTCCACATCGCTGGGGTTGTTGGTCGGAGGGGACTAATTTTTGTTGGTGTGTCAGGACTGTGTGCAGCTGTGGCGGGTACAGAAGCCGCTGTAACGGATGTTGAGGC